TCCCTCGGCCCCCGCGGGACGGACTCTGCGGGCTGCTGCCCGCAGGTGTCAGGCGATACCTGGAAACAGCCAAAGCCGCCTCAGTGCGCTCGGACGCGCTCGCGGCGCTGCCATTTCCCGGAGACGGGATTTCCCGTGTGAGGGAACACGGGGATGGATCCCTGACAAGGCGGTGTGCAACCTCTCGCAGGCGTAAGCGGCCCGCGGCTAAAATGCCCCAGAGAGATGTCAGGAAAGGTGTTTGCTGCCTCTGCAGTGAATAGCAGAGGAGTTAACCTGTTTCCTTCAGTATTTTGGAGTGCCACAAGCCAATTCGTCCTTAGAATCATAGAATCTGAGAATCGTGGTTGCAACAGACCTTCCAGATCATCGAGTCCAACTGTGAATCCATCGCCACCCGGCCTGCTAAACCATGTCCCTAAGCGCCTCATCTACAGGTTTCCTGAACGCTGCCAGGGACGGTGACTCCACCGCCTCCCTGGGCAGCCTGTTCCAATGCTTCACCACTCTTTACATGTATAAGTTTTTCCTAATCCCTAACCTGAATCTCCTCTGGTGCAACTTGAGGCCATTTCCCCTTTTCCAATTGCTAGTTTTTTGGAGAAGAGATCAACCCCTGCACCTCTTAAAAGTGCAGGATAGATACATTCATGAAGTGAAAGGTTTGCTGCCCAATATGGAACGATGTCTCTGGACTAAGTGATACAGCAGTGAAGAACAAAACAATGTTTAGTGTCAAGAAAAGGGAGTTTTGAATGCCCAGCATGACTAAAAATTGAGCAGATTCCCCTGTAGTTACAAAAAGGGTTTAGGAGTGTAAACATTAAATTCAAAAGCTTTTGTTGAATGTGGCGCTTGTGTCTTTTCATATCAACCTGCCTGAGCAGGAGACATGGTTCTGCAGCAGAGTGTCCTTCCTAAAGAGTCTTAGTTTTTCCATTTAATTAAAAAAGAAATGAAAAAAGTATAAGTCAGTGTAGTGTCCCAAAGTCAGTCAGTTTGCTGGAGGACTCATCAGTCCCTTAAAATGTAGATGCAGACCATGAGTTATTTCCCTGCTCACATTGTTGCCCTGAAATTGGCATCTTTGCCCACAGTTTAATGACTTTTCAATGACACCTTTAGGCTAATCTTGTGTCCACTTCAAAAAACCCAGCACACATCTGTAACTACTTACTGCTCCTCTGGCGAGGTGCTTGGTCGGAGCACAAGCGCTGCTTATTCACACCGTAGGTCAAGCTCCCTAAGTGGGCCGCACGGCTCGTATCAGAGACCATCTAATGTGAATAAATGAAGGTGCATTTTCTTCTAAAATCCACTCCCTTACTGCATTTGAAACATTGACGTGACCTAAGAAGATCTATTTCATTATATGGGGCTTGTGATTTCACCTATGGGTTTATACAGTATTCCCAGTTGTAGCATGGAGAGATGGGGATTGTATGCATGGATCCTCATGAGAGGATCGGCAGAAACCAAAAGCTGCCCGGGTTTCAAAGAGAGCCAGCAAACTCACACGTGTGAGTATGTTCATCCCCCAAGCAACTTCCTATTCTAGTGCTAGGGAAGTTTTGTTTATGCACCTCATCACTGGTGTTTATGCACCAAATGTAACGGATTTGTACATCTCCATTATGGAATTTGATGTTCATCCTACTATTTTCTTCTTAGTAAATCCCATACAGCCCAACAGAGGCCTCGTTTTACACAGACTTGACAATGCTCTGAAACTCTCTTCCTGTAGCTCCTCGTGTTCTGCTGGGCTTGCCGAGAGCAGCCAACCCTGTTTTCTTGCACAAATATAGGAAGGATCTGGAAAGGACCATGGCATACAGATATCTGCAGCTTTCCAGCATCAAATATTCCTTTGTTTTATATTCAGTGGATTTTTCTTTTCCACCCAGTGTTTCCTTTCTCATATATTCATAACCCCCCACTCCATTCATTCTCTTATCTGAATTTTATTATATCATTAACATTTTATGGCTGGCACAGCACTGTGGTAAGACAGTGCTAAAATTAATGAAGGCACAATAAACTGCAGAACATAAAGTTTTATTGCTTACACCCTTTTCTAACCAAGCTATTTTTAATACACACTCACATGCACACACGTATGTTTATTTACACACATGCACGCATACAAATAAATATATGTAATACATGTACTGTGTATTATATCCATATAAATATAAAATGGTTTGGTTTGGAGCATAACGTATCAAGGTTTTCAGTCCATTCCTTTCTCCATTCCCTTGCTAGAGGTGCTGCCTATGGCAATATGCCTAGGAAATGTACAGCACGTATGAATATTGTCTGCAGAAGCCCTAACTACTTGCAGAGGAAATAAAAACTGGACCGCATATGTATTTGTTCAGCGACACTGAAAGTGCCGTCTTGAGGAAGTATATGTAAAGTTGATTAGATTGGACTGTATGCTTTAAGTTGAATAATACACTCTTGTAAAAACACTCTTCAAAATTATTTAACTTCCCATGATACAGTCTCAGAGAGAAAAAAAAAACAAAAAACCCAAAACTTTAGTGTTATCTTTTCCTGTCACATGACTAGTGCAAACAACAAAAAGAAAAACCCTTATCTTTTTGTTTCTTTTCTGGTACTTTATAAAATAGCGCAACCGGTTTAGTGCCCAGACATTAAAGACTCCGCTAGGAAAAGATCGACGCTACATGGCCCACTCTACTTGAAACGTAGGAAAGAGGAGGTGAGCCACGCGGGGCTGCCGGGTGGCAGAGGATATTTAATTTTTTCCCTTTCCCCGGGGAAGAGGCCTCTCCTGTACCTCGGGAAGCAGCACGGGGACCTTCTCGCTGCTGACTCGGCCGCATTTGCTGTCCCGCTCAGCTGCAGCGTCCGAGCGCGTCCCGCACCGTGATGGATGGACCGACCGCGCGTGGATCTTCACCGCTCACGTCAATAAAAGCACTCGGTGCGGGTGTCAGACGTTTTAAGGCCATGTGAGTAATGAGTGCACAGGCTACCTGAGAAATCCGTGCCATATAGTTTATTCAACTTTGATCTATTTCTTTGATTTAGCACTGCAATTAAGTAGATTTGGTTCAAAGAGAAAGCCCATTGGTTGATGTTTTACACTGATGTGATAATGTTTACACAGATGTGCTTTGAAATCTCGATTATGGTGGATTTTTGGGTCCCACCACATGACAGGCTCCTGTTATCTGAAAGGTAAAATAATATAACATCTATCTGTAAGTGCCTTCAGAGCAGGTCTGCCTGTGCTCTCTTCAGAGGTGATTTATCTGATCATTGTATTTAGCGTTAGGGTTTTTTTCTTTTCTTTTCTTTTTTTTTTCTGTTTTAAATCCCTCCACAGTAAATCACTTGCTTTAAAGCAGCCTTTTTATAATTCAGGTGCACACAGGGGCAGTACTTAGGACTGCAATGATGAAAAGGTGTAGCATTACCTGCTTTAAAGCACCTGCCAATTAATTAGCCCTATACTCTCCATAGCAAATAAAGCTAAGCAGTCAAATCCATTTGATCTCCCAGATTTAGACTGTGACTGAAAAGACCACAGAGCAAGACTGAAGAACTAATCTTTCATGATTCTCTACAACTTTTTTGTTTTAATGAAACCTTAAACCACCAGGCGATTCTCTCCAGCTTTTGAAAGAATTAGTTATGAGGGATCTTGGAGTTTTGCATGGTAATACCTTGTTTTAACATTAGCAGGCAGATGCATTGCATTTCTTAATGCTAAGATGGGTCCCCAAAACTCATTACATGTTAAAAAAAAAAAAGAAAAGGCGAAACTCTTCCTTTTAATATACCACTGATTTATCACTGCTGATAATGAGCATTTGTTCCAGGGACAGATTTGCTGCTCTCACCCATTCCATCCTTGAGTTGGAGAGAAAAAAAAAAAATCATATGCTCAGCTGGAACAGCACAGTAAAATCCCCAGTCGGTTCAAAACATTGCAGAAAGGCACCGAGTACTTCTGAAAAGTGGTATTATTGTTAATTTACTTGCAGCAGACTTTGGTGATGGGCCCAACGCACAGCCCCAGAGAAGCTGGATTGGACGGGCCACCTCTTGCCCTCTTTCTTCCATCACTGCTGCCCGCTTTGGAAATATTTACCCAGAGCGCGGAGCTGCCCCTTTGGGTCCCCGCACCGTGTGCTGCCACGTCCCTGCGCTACGGATCAGCTTCACGTCACGCCAGCGATAAATTAAATCCGAGCGGAAAGCACCTCCCAGCCTATGCCAATTCCATTCAAAAAATCCCCCTGCTCGTGCGCGAGGCGATAAAAGCGAAGGGCTTTTATTAGCCTGGGTTGGAAGCGGCGAGCAGAGCTGTCAGATCTCGGGTGTTTTTCACTCGTTTGGGGTTTTCTTTTTTATTTTCCCTCGGCTTTCATGTGTGTCTGGGCAGGCCTGGCCCGCAGGTAGCGCCCCGTCCCCCCCGCGGCCCCCCGTGCACCTGCCC